GGACCGTGGCTTCAGTTAAGTCTTCAGAGCAAATTGCTGGTTCCAAATAGGATAATAGAGGTTGCTTTGTTTAAAAAAAGTAAACCGAAAAAATGAGAGACTGCTTAAAAAAAAAAAAGAAAAAAGATCAAGTTTCTTTTGTATTTTATCCCACATAAAATAAAGTTTGGTATTAGCATGCAATCAATCAGTGTGGTACTCCTTATTCTGAATACAGAAGACAGAGTATTACTGCATCTAATATTATTTAATTGGTTCAATTTACTGTATAAATTTTTATACTAAGTGTGTTTCCCTATCTTGATGAGCCCAGATGTAGTTGCATTTGTGGTTTACAGCATCCCATTGCTTGCATTTTACTATTTTTACAAAGCAAATATCTATCAGTCATAGAGATAAATTAGAAAAAAAAATGTGCATACATGACACATCGCTAAGATTTTTTCCAGCATGCTATGTAATTATTAACCTGATTTTTGCCATTGAAAGAAGCCATGAATTACAGATAGCACGGATGAAGTTAAATGCTTTTATATTAGATACATTTTGCTCATACAGTATTCTATAGGTATGGCCATACAATATAATTGAAGCTTTGTCAGTTCTGTAGCCTAGCAACAGATAATACTGTTAGGTTACTGAATTGCTCCTGGTTGACAAGTAGGGAGTATTTTTGTGTTTATCATGTTTGCTAATGATGGGATCCTTTCCAAAAGGCTTGTCTTAATCTTAATTAGAGTTTATCAGGAGAGGTCTGCATGACATTGTGCAGACACTGATTTCATAAATAATAAAAAGTGCAAGTGAAAAATTTGGCAGGAGAAGAAGATATTTAAGACCACTGATTCTTGTAAGAGCAGCATGAATTTCCAAAATGTAATCAAGTTTGAACTGTGACTCTATTCTTTATTATCGAAACTTGCAGTACACTCCACTGCAGTTTTGACAGCAATTATGACTATGATTTATAAGCTTCCTGTTAGGAACCAGATCTGTTTGCACAAGAATCTTGATCATAAACATTACAAAGAACAGTAAGTCCACAGTTTTTCAGGGGCATCAGGACCTTACTTTTTCCTTTGCATAGAAGCTGTTTTGTTGTGGTTTTTTAAGGTGGTGGTTTTTTTTTTTTCAAGCAGCAAAAATGTTTGCAGTGAAAGATGCAGACAAAGAAAAGAGTCCTGAAATAACCTTTCCATTTGGTGAAAACATTGAAGGTATCAGATAACGGCTTTGGTGCCTGATGTCGTTTGATAAAGAACTCATGCCAATGCAATTGGAATGTGATTTTGTGCTGTAGTTGGCACAACAAGATATTCTTTAGCTTTCCCAACTTTCTGCGATTAAATGAGCATTTCTAATTCCTGGCAATGTGAACTAGAAAAAGAGTTCAAATAAATATGTAATGTTTACAGACATTTTTATTCTCCTCTGCTGCTTGACATGTATGTATTATATATCGCGTAAATTTCTTTGGTTTAACCATAAATATCTTGCAGGCTCAAGAAGCTCATTTGCAATTTCACAGAGTCAGAACTTGACTTGTAGAGAAAACAGCCTTCCAGTATCACAAAGCCTTCTGGTATTTCAAAACCTTCCATTATGCACTGGAACAATTGTAAGACTTTTCTTACCCATCATGTAAAACCAGTAAGACCCTTTTCAGTGTAAATGGATGGCCAGTCTACACATAACAAGTGAGAAGAGAGCCAAAGTCACCAGTCTGCCATTGTCTTGCTTTCTAACCAAAGTGTATGACCATGACTTCATTTCTGAGGCACTGTCACTCATCTCTCTAAGAGCTTATCTGCAGGTTCTTCATTTCTCTTCTGATGACTGTCTTAAGTTTGAGAAATTGGCTTAGTAAATCTTTGGTGGAACCATTTTAGTGCCATTTTCTTTTTCTGACAAAAGGAATTCTTGGTTAGACAGCTTAGTCGGAACTTCATCTCGTACGTATAATAGGCCTTTACTTTTCGTTACGGGCTCTTCATGTCTTTACAACTATTGGAAGCAAACATCTTCCTATCTCCTTGTCTATTGCCACTGGTACTTGGCAAAGATTTCCATATTATTCTTTTGAAAATCTGTCGTTAACACCACCCTTTGCTCTATGAAAAAAATGTTGTGCTCCTGAGAAACTACAATTTTTATGTCACTTGTGTCTTAGCTTGTAGAAATGTTTGTGGGAACCAAGAACTTTTTTCCCTGATTTGTAGCCGCCACCTATAAGGAAGCCCTGATCCGTGACAAAGGTGTCTAGACAGCATAATAATTCATATGATAGTCATGATTGAAACTTCCTATTAAATTTGGAAGCCTCTGCCAGGTTCTCTTCACACCATTTCCCAGGCTGTGTGGTAGAAAGCTCAAGAAGACTTCTATTCCTACTGTTTTCCTGCTGTGTATGAAGGCCATCATATTTACATCAACTGCATTAAGGGGAATAAAGTTCAAAACAGCAGCTATTGCCTCACCCTGTGCAAGCAAGGATGGAAGGGGACAAGAGGGGACCGTACTGTGTCGTGTCCCTGTGGGTGCTATTGCTGCAGACATAGTATACTGCAGTTCCAGTAGCTGGAAGAATGCAACATTTGGGAGTTCATCTGAGGATTTAACTTAACACAGTATCATGTATTGATGTAAACATGGTCATATATGTCATGATCAATTAAATGTCTCATTTCCTATAAAGTGGGGTGAGAGAAAACAACCGTGTAATTCATGGATCTGAATTCTGCTGGGCTGAAAGTTTATATTCAAATGCATGAGTGGATTGAACTTCTGTAGTTCTGGTTTCCTTTAATAAGCCAAGCTAGAGATTGTTGTGCTTCCAAAGGCATCACACATCCCACTCGGCTGTGCCTGCCCTAGGTGTGACAGCTTCCAGGAGCTGGGTGGACCAGGCAGCTCAGATCACTGCTCACTTCATCTGTCCGAGTTTCATCTGCTGCTGGATGTGAGTCAACAGCCTGAGGAGCTCTAACACCAGGAGACTGAGTCAGCCTTCTAGCTGATCCAGACTGATTGCAGCTGGAGACCCAGTAATCAACTACACTTTCCTTTTCGTTTCCCCCAAGGGTACAGCATGTCAAGATGTTTGCTGGGATAGAGAAAGTCTCAGTTGGTTCTTCTGCAGTGACTCATTTTTATTTTATTAAGAAATCCATTGAATAGTGCAGCCAAGGAAGAGCTCTTATGCTGTATTAAAATGTGTTGGTTGATTATTGCACCTTCTGTATACAAATCAAATGCACATTAATGACGGAAGCCCTGTTGCTCCCAGAAAATGAGCTGTGTGCTGTTGGCAGTGAGAGTACCCGGTTTTAGGTTCTCAGACTGCAGCACATGTGTCACGTATTTTTATCTATGAGAGAATTAAGTACACATTAGGAATTTAGCCTGTTTCTCTCTTGAAAAGGTTTTAGACCAGTTTAACTCCAAAGGCTTCTGTATATTTACTCCTGCCTTGTACCGGGCAGTAAGTTGGACTGTGCTCTTCAAATGTTTGGATTCCTGCTTGGGCATTTAGGATTCTGCATTTGTGCAGACACTGATGGCACTATCCTCACATTTCATCATCTTATTCTCTAGAGGAAATTACTCAGATTTGTACCATTTAATGCTGTAGTTTTGGAGGGTAGTAAACCTCAGTATGTTTTGGTCCTGTGACAGTGAATTGTTTGTAGACTTTGGAGCCACCTCCAACTCTGTATTACCAAAGGGTGAATACAAAGACACTTTTCTGCTTTGAAACTTTTACACCACTTTGAGGTCTGGAAGCTTAGCTTTATTTTTCCACTGAAACACATTGTCACTGATGCTGTTTTGTTTGCTCATCTTTGAAAGCTAATAGACTGGTTTAATTAATTGTCCAAGATTTCTCTAAAACAATGTCCTAATTCTTCCATTTAGCTGTGGCATATCATACACTGTTGTTATCTCCTCTACCAGATTTTTGCAACAAGTTGTTTTAAAACTATAATCTCTTTGAGGGGAAAAAAATGAAGTGCAGTTGAAAAGGCAGTTATGCCGAAAGATAAACACAGCAATATTACTTATCAAAACGAGTACAGTTTTTGCTTGCCTAATGAATACAACATATAGCTTTTTCTATATATACAAAACCTGAGGGAAAAAAAAAAAAGCTTTATAACATATAAAGTATGCAACATTATTTCAGGCATAACTGTATTGGATATGTATCTAGGCCTGAGAGTGTAGATAACACAATATAAGTGCTTTGCCTGTCTAAACATGTTAAATAAATGAGCATTCACTATCGCATTCAAATACATTAGTAGATGTACTCGCATAGTTAATTTTCTTTTTAATGCACTACACGTGACATTTGCAGCACAGAGCTATAGAGTATCTTACTGTTTGATGAAAGTTCTTCCACCTCTCCCCCTTTTAAACAAACCTTTATTTGAATAAGCCTTTATGAAACAGATCTTTGGCATATTTTCTTTTCAGGAAGTTCAGTCAGTGTAAGCAGAGATAATGCAGTCATGTTACAAAGAATATTACATAAGGGAAGATTTTTTTGAGAAAGAGGGTGGAAAACATAAGGGAGGGTAAGAACGCACTTAAGAGGAAATCTGATTTCTTTCTTGCAGCTGTTTGGTTTTATTATGCTGTGATTTGTTATTCAAAATAAAAGAAACTTGGAGTTACAAAAAAAAATTGGTGAAAAGTAATGATGAGAAAAGTGCTATATAAAATATCTTCACCTCTATATTGATTTTTGTAATGTGGCCTTTTAGGGGACAAAATGAAACATTAAAATGTATATTCATGCTGCAATAGTTAGGAGAAGTTCCCCTAATTTTTATTATATGTCAACAATTGCTCCGTTGACAGAAGGAAGACAGTAAAAGTAAAAATTATTTGTCTCTTTACCTTTAACAAGCCATCAAAACTTTAAAAAAAAAGTGTGAAGATACGGCACTGATGTTTTAAGTTCTGGAATCTGATATCGTCAATTAAATCTTTCTGCTTTTATGTTTCCTGTAGGAGGGCAGCTTTGGTGTACCACGACCAAGGCCATCTCAGAGGGTGAAGAGCTGATTGCCTTTGTTGTAGATTTTGACTCAAGGCTGCAAGCTGCTAGTCAGATGACTCTCACAGAAGGGATGTATCCTGCACGCCTGCTGGACTCAATACAATTGCTCCCTCAACAAGCTGCAATGGCATCTATTTTGCCTACGGCTATTGTGAACAGTAAGTGATAAATACTTTTCTCTGGCTTTTTTTAAGAAACGGCAGTACTTTCAGGCACATATGAAGAGCTAATACAGCGATAGGGAATTCAAGACCACAGAAACCACACGACTTAAAGCCCACAGCTCAAAGCCTGCTTTTGTTCCCCCACCATCTCAGATGAACTGGCAGACATAAAAGGAGGGAGAAGAGCAGTTTGGCACCTGGGGTCTGCAAGAGCCTCACCCAGAGTATCCAACCTGCCCTCGTGTGGAGGTTCTGTGATCTGCTCCCAGAGGCAAGAGGATCAGAAACTGTTAAAGCAGCAGATAAGATAGGCCTGTTAGCTCACAAAGTCGAGCCTCTGCTGCTCACGTAAGCTGGTGCTTATAGCTGCAGCTTCTGGCAATAATTCATGATACTCAGTGGAAGGAAGGAACACACCTCCTCAGTGGCTCTTTCAAAATGCGGTGGAGATCGTGCCTTATAGCAGCCCTGATTTATTGTAACATCACCGCTCAGTGTGGCTACCCAAGAATGTTTTTATGTCCTCTGGACATCAGTAGACCCTGTCATGGACAAAATACAGCATGTAATTAAGTGCTGTCCTTAGAGAAGAGGGACATGAATACATTATAAATCAGTTCCTGAAGTGCGACAATTCAGCCTGAACTTTTCTTAACTTATTTTCTGGGTACTCAGTCTTGATAGTCACACATTTATTGTTAGCCTGTTCTGAAAGTTAAACCTTAAAATGTCTAGGTCATCCAAGTTCTCTCTTCCAGAGAGCGAGTTGGCAGCAATCTCAAGCCCTTTACCTACGTGCATGGGGCTGCTGTTGAGCTGATGTGCCTATTCACAAAACCAGCAATTAGCACTGTACAGGACCTGTCCAAAAGAAAGTGGCAGAAGCCCCTAAAATGGACCACCAGGTTACCACAGTTAGGGCAGACCAGTGTTTGCAGCCAACAGCTGCAAGGGAGCAACCAGGGAGGGAGTTACCTAGCCTAAAGGACAAAGCTTGTTTGAGCTCAGGATGTGTTTTTGTGGAAACTGCAGGAGGCAAACTCTGGCCTTTGGCAAAGCAGTCAGATTTCTACAGCATCAGTTTTCTGGATATACCTTTGCTGCCTTTTGCAGTGCCCTGGAAAGCCTGACTGATCATTGCTACTTCCCCTGCTAAGAGAAGTCTGTTTACAGTGCATCAGCTCTTGCTACATAGGCTTAGTGGACACTCAGAGTAACCCATATACTCTTAAGTCCAGGAGGCTGCTGAAGTAGCAAGTGAACTTTCCACCCTGGTTCTGCCTCCCACCAGATAGGGCTATTTCTAGATGTCATTGGTTTGGTGAAATTCAGTTTCTTCAGTAAAGTCTCAAGCTAGACATGGGTTCGGTAATATGCTGAATACATCCTTAGATTTGCAGTGAGACATCTTGTAACCATTCTTTGGTTAGGTCTATGGAAAAAAAAAAAATCAGTTTCTAGAAAAATGAAATTTTATGAGGTTTGGGGGTTTGTTTGTTTGTTTGTTGTTTGGGTTTTGGTTTTTTTTAACAGTTCCTAACATTTTCTATTTGAAAAATCAAATTTAGAGTATCACATTTGTCTCATTCATCTTGAACTTGAATGTTCCATTTCCTGAATTGATCCATTGAAATATTTGGGAACTATCCATTGAGATAAATTGAAATATTTTGCTTTTAAAGAAATAAAACATTTTCAGGTACCCTTTTATTATCTATTTTGCATCACTTTAGGACAGTAATCATTTCAGATCCCATCCCTGTACGTTGTTCTCACTGGAATTCCATTCTCTCACTCTTCAAAATTTCTCAAATGCTTTTCATTTATATAGCATGTAATAGGTGTCACATATTCAGCATGCATAACTGGAGCTACAGACTGTCTAGGTCATCTAGCCCATAGGAAATCAAGTTGGCTGGAAGTCAGATTTGTTAAGATAATCAGAAAGTTCAATTCTGTGCAGTCAAATTAATTCAAACAGGACATGTTGCCCATATCAGAATTTCCTATTACTACTTTTGGAATTTGTTCTCTGTGGAAACCCCAACAGTTCAATCTTTTAAACCACTGGAAGCCCAAACCAAATGGTAGAATGTCAGCTTTCACATGAGTTGGACATTTCACATGTTGCAAGCTGTATCAGTAATGTTTTAATCATGGTATATAGAGGAATACTAACTGTTCCTTTAAGTGTTTGTGTCTTAAATTCATGCACAATTATTCAGTGGCAAAGGGAAAAATAGAAACTGGTAGTGGGGAAAATGTTTTATTCAAATTCCTGTGCAGAAAAAAACAGACAAGCACTCGAAATGTGGTCAGAGAAGCAAAGTTAGCAATGTAAATTTTGTCACCGTTTTTAGATATTTAACAAATAAAAGACTCATCCATTTCAGTGGGCGGGAGTCTTCAACTTTGTTCACTCAAAGGAGTTGGAACAGAGAGTTGTCTGTACACATCCATATTTGAATTTAAACATAAATTGTCATGAATGATAATGAATTACAACATCAGCTACGCATGCCATGTTTCTGAAGCAGCCAACCATTCTTCAAGACTAAATTAATTACAGTCACTAGCAGCATTGTACATTCTGAAATCAGCAGGAGTTTTGATGCTGACCAAGGTGTGTTTTGATGTTGAGTGCAATTGCCCATTCTTTGATCCTGAGGTCACTGGCACAACCTGGCTGCACTCATAATTTGATCTTCTCTTAGTCTCAAAACCAGGTGAGAATTGTCCAAAACGGTTGCAGGGAATGATCCTAGGGCCATGATAACTTCTGAACTGTATGTGGGAATGGGGCAGGTGTTAACTGACTTAAGGCAAATGTGCGGAAGGGACCATTCTCATCACTTAATGTAAACGAGATGTTACATTAGAAATTTTAACTTCTAATATTTAATAACAACAGGAACCCAGGAAATAAACATGCTGCCTAGTATCTTGTAGTCAACACTGTAGGATCTTAAGGAAATGTACTCTAGTCAAGCCTCCTGGATACCAGAGTAACAGGATTTTACAGTAATAACTGTATATAAAATATACAATTTTCAGCATGTATAAGCATGCTGAAAATGCACATTCTTCAGAATGATCTGCAATTAACACTCAAAGATTCTAAGGCCCTAAGCTGGAAAGACTTCTGTGCACACACAAAAAAAAAAGCACAGTTGAAAGATGTCACGTGTTGCGTAGAAGTGTATTGGAAATACAGTGTAGCTCCTGAATTTGTGCTAAATATTCACAGCAAACAGTTTAATTTCATTTTTTAAATATACATGCTGAAAATTTCTGTGTTTTTTTTTTTTAGTAACTCTTTTTAAAATCTTCTCTTGAAAGAAACAACTGTCTCCCATGTTATCTCCCACCTGCAAGTGATATTTTAATATACCTGGGGCTCTGTTTTCAGTACTTTATTCAATAAGCATACATTTAATGGGGATGTGAGGGGAATTAATCCAGCTGTGTTAATTGGTTGGCACTGAGTGCACTGTGGCTAACCTGCACTTGGCTCTATTTGTTTACAGAGGACATATTCCCTTGCAAATCCTGTGGCATTTGGTATCGAAGCGAGCGGAACCTGCAGGCCCATCTCATGTATTACTGCAGTGGGAGGCAGAGAGAGGGGCCTCAGCTCTCCGAGGAGAATGAAGATAGTGCTCAGCAGATATCCAGTGTCTGCCCCTTCCCACAGTGTACCAAAAGTTTTTCTAATGCAAGAGCTCTGGAAATGCACCTAAATTCTCACAGTGGTAAGTACCTTGTATTTTTCTGTATCACCTTATAGATTTAGGTTATTTGAAGAATCATTCACTACAGACATTCAGCGGATCTATGTCTCTCCAAATATATGCAAACATTTGGTGTAGATACTATCAAAATGTCAGCAGTTTCTGACCCGTATTCTACACCAAGTACCTCTCCCAGGTGACCAGTGTAATTTCTGTTATCTGATAGTCCTCATTTGAATGCTGTCTCTCTCTTAATTGTGTATACATGCATACAAGCAGCATTTCTTTCCTGGTGAAGGTCTGCTCAGAAATCCAGACACAGTTTGACTACTGCTGCTTGGTCTCTGAGAGATTCAATCAATTACTTCCGGATTCCGTCCACCAGACGTGAGTCTGCTAGACTACAATCTCTACCTACCCTGTTTTGATGCTCAGTGGAGAAATACATACCACCAAAGAGCATGTCCTTCTGAAATAAGGTCTCATGGTCCTAGAGTAGGCTTCTTAGGCAGGAGGCGTTAAGGACCAGGTTCCAGAACTCTGTGTGCTTTTCCCAGGAAACTTGTTTAATAAAAACTTGTTTCATAAAAATATTCTGTTCCCTCCTTATAAATATAAAATGGGGAGAGTATTTTCCTTGTCCACATTGTTAAAATTATAATATTAGATACACAGAAAGTAGGATTGCAAAATTCCCAAGATTAAAAATCTGGAACTCGGCAGAAATCTTATCTCCCTCCCTGAAGGCCCTTTGAGTGTACTGTTTGAGTTCATTTTGACTTAGGGCTGGAAACATAAGTTAATGCAGAACATTCTGCATTGGAGTTTTCAGTAGCAGAGGAAACCTACCTAAGAAGAACTACTAAGAAGACTGCAGTGGCAGATTATGGGTGTTTTTTGGCTGTCTAGGGTACAGAGCTGTGTCTGGAAAGACACAAGGGCCCAAAAGGGGGTTCCTGATACTCCTGCTATATGGATGGAGTCTAAAGGACACTGATGTTTGCTTTATTCCCGAAAAAGGCCTTATTCGGCTTCAGTGCAAAAACTCCTGGGGGAGTGGTAGTCTACGCAGTGGAAAATGTTCCTTTGATACTTGTGCAGCCATTACAAATCTAGAAAGCTTCTTACTGCCTTGGTGGAGTTTGGTACCTCCCCTAACAGGAGTAGAATGCTGAGTGAGAATCTTCCTTATGCAGACAACACAGACAGCACTTAGCAATTCACTTAGAGGTCAGATATTTTTGTGCTTCCAGATCTTAACTTTGACTATCAAGCTATTGCCATTTTCTGTCTCTTGCCTAGTAAATATTACTGCCTCTGTTCACTGAACCAGAGGCAGTAGCAGCAACAGCTTCAACAAGAGCAGGTGAATGCAGCCCAGCATGTCTTACAGCATAGTTATTAAAACCAGGTATTCCTGGAAGGTAACAAATGCATTTCTCCCCAAGCAGAGGAAGAATCTAAAATCTTAGACGTTGTGTAAAAGGCTTGCTTCAGCTCTTTGCATTTAGTGACATACCATTGGCTTGGGGGTCAAAAGAGTTTACAGCCTTGAGCTGTGAGTGACCATTTCTTCTTGCAATCTAGAGATAAGCATCTGTGTTCCTTGATAGACATAGGTCTGAGATCATGCTGAACTTCCAGTAAGCATCATTAGGTATTTCTTAGATCAGAGGTTAAAAGTTAGGCCTTGCCCTTCTTTGTAGTCATAAACCAGTCCAATCATTCTTGCTCTCCTTCAGATCCCGTTGTTCTGCTTTTCTATACAGAAAACAACAAGTTATCACAGCTGCTGCAGTAGGAATGAAACATACCTTTTCCAAATGCCCTATAAGCTAGTGCTGTCTTTGTGTCAGCTTCTGTACAGTTCCTACTGGGTACTGTAAGTCCCACACCACTGGAGTGTGGAACTCCAGCTGATACGCAGAGTCCATCGAGGCACTTCACTGTAACTGCATTACATGATGTGGGAGCATATGAAGCACCACCTCATGGCAGTGTAGGAGCTAAAGCTTCATATGGCCTCCTGGTGAAAAAGTGCCTAACAGGGAACAAGTTCTGCTTGAAGTACTGTGTATCTCCTTGGCTCCCCTCTGGCCTCTTGAGGCCAAGAGTAGTTCAGGTTCAAATGTTGCCCACATCTGTGGGAGTCACTGATGCTAGGGGAGAAGTGAAGACCTCCAGGTACAACAGAATGACCTTCCACAGATTGAGCCTCAGTATTCTTACTGCTTTATATTGTTCAACTAACTCAAACCTAGTTTACCTGACCAAGGCATGGGGGAAAGTGGGGTATAGACAGAAAAAAATAGCCATTCTGAATGTCGTCCCTACCAATATTTTTTCTGTTTTTATTGTCTAACACATAATCAGAATCTGTGTTGTTGCAGTAGAGAAATTTGATCTTACCTCTTTTTAAAGCATTTTCACTTTCAAAATATTGTGAAACATCTTTTTTTTTGCTTCAGCAGTGACTGTAAGATGGCTTTGCACATGCTGTTCTTGGTAGGGAAAACTGCAGTGAACTCATAAGGAAAAGTTGTTGTGTTACAGCAGTAGTTGCCTACAGCCGTTATATGCAGAAGATAAAATGTTGGTGAAGCCATGTCTTACTCCTCTTCCTCCTTTCACAATGACTGCAACTCATCAGTCCTTTCTGATGAGGACAGATCTGTATCCTGTTCCCACACTACAGGAAACTCATGTAGGCAAAGAGCTGAACATCAGTAATGCTCAACATGCTACTTCAGGTCTGTCTGTGGCTGTACCTCAAGCAACATCATAACCTTGAGCCTCTTGACCTTGATGTGCTTTCTCAGCGTTCAAAATTTCCAGTGATTGTGTATGGGGAACATTATGTCTCCTTTAGTTAAAATTGTAATTTCTAAGACCTTTTAATTTAGAATAAGTCCAGTCTATTTTTATCCTTTCCCTTATTCTTTCTTTCCCTTCATCTCTGCTGAATGCTTGCAGATACCAAGGCTCTCCAAAGCAGAGGAGAGGTCTGGGAATATCCTCTAGCAGTCTGAGGAAAGGAATTCTGAACCAGTTCAAGTATTTTCAGGGTGACTAATGCCATCCCATCAGAAGACCATTAGTTGTTCTCGCCATGTTTCTATCTTCTGTGCAACTGATCTGCCAATATAATACATGAAGGTCAAAATCACTCACTTTATATTATATTTTAATTGGTTTGTTGTTGTTTTTTTTTCTATAGGTGTGAAAATGGAAGAATTTCTCCCACCCGGTGCTAGTCTGAAATGCACAGTTTGTACTTACACTGCAGACTCAGTGATTAACTTTCATCAGCACTTGTTCTCACATCTTACTCAAGCTGCCTTTAGATGCAATCACTGCCATTTTGGCTTCCAAACTCAGAGGGAGCTACTGCAGCATCAAGAGTTACATGTCTCTGGCAACAAAATTCAGAGGGAAAGTGACATTGAACACTCTCCGAGTGGAAACGAAGAAGGTTTGCAGCCAGCAACGGACCTGTTGGGCAGAAATGATGTTCCCCAGAGCCAAAAAACCATGCAGACTAAAGATGCAAGTTCTGATACAGAGCTTGATAAATGTGAAAAAAAGGCTCCACTTTTCCTTCCAAACCAGAGGCCAGAAACCCAACCTGCAACAAATAAGCAGAGTTTTTCATACACTAAAATAAAATCTGAACCGTCCAGTCCAAGACTTGCTTCATCGCCGGTTCAGCCTAATATTGGTCCTTCTTTCCCAATGGGACCTTTTCTTTCCCAGTTTGCTTTTCCCCAAGACATCACTGTGGTTCCTCAGGCTTCAGAGATACTAGCCAAAATGTCCGAACTGGTCCATCGAAGACTGAGACATGGAAGTAGCAACTATCCGCCTGTAATTTACAGTCCTTTGATGCCCAAAGGGGCTACATGTTTTGAGTGTAACATAACATTCAATAATTTGGACAACTACTTGGTACACAAAAAGCATTACTGCAGCAGCCGATGGCAGCAGATGGCAAAGTCACCAGATTTTTCCAGTGTTCCAGAAAAAATGCCAGAAGCTGCAAGTCCTAGTAATGGTCAAAGCTCTATAAACATCCTGAATGCAGCTCCTCACACGTCAGATCCAGAAAATCAGATTCTGCAAGCGTCTTGCCTAAACTCCTCCAGTGTTTTAGATTTGATCGGGCCGAACAATAAAAGTCATGAAAAAGACTTTACAGCACAATCTAAGAAATTATCAGCTGCAAGCAACGGCGATGAGAAGATGAATGGGAAAACTTCTGATGTGAAGAATCCCAGTGCTCCTTTAGGAGAAGGAGAGAGTGATCCTAACAAGACCACGTGTGAAGCTTGCAATATTACTTTCAGCAGACATGAGACGTACATGGTCCACAAGCAGTACTACTGTGCCACCCGCCATGATCCCCCACTGAAGAGGTCCGCTTCCAACAAAGTGCCTGCCATGCAGAGAACAATGCGTACTCGGAAGCGGAGGAAGATGTATGAGATGTGCCTGCCAGAGCAAGAGCAAAGGCCACTAGTTCAACAGCGATTTCTAGAAGTGGCTAATCTGGGCAATCCTTGCACATCTACTCAAGAGTCAGCGGAGGGCCTCGCAGAATGTTACCATCCACGGTGTGATATCTTCCCAGGAATAGTCTCAAAGCATCTGGAAACATCACTGTCTATTAACAAGTGCGTTCCAGTTTCAAAGTGTGATACTCCCCACTCCACTGTGTCTTGCTTGGAAATGGATGTGCCAATAGATCTCAGTAAAAAATGCTTACCTCCGTCAGAGAGGACATCCGCTTCTCCCAAAAGGCTGCTGGACTACCATGAATGCACAGTATGCAAGATCAGTTTTAACAAGGTAGAGAACTACCTGGCTCACAAGCAGAATTTTTGCCCCGTCACTGCCCATCAGCGTAACGACCTGGGACAACTTGACAGTAAGGTGTTTCAAAACCCAGAGAGTGAACGAAACAGCCCAGATGTCAGTTACGAAAGAAGCATAATCAAATGTGAGAAAAATGGAAACTCGAAACAGTCCTCTCCTAATGGAAACTTATTTTCCACACACTTAGCAACACTTCAAGGACTAAAAGTCTTTAGCGAAGCGGCCCAGCTTATTGCTACGAAAGAAGAGAACAAACATTTGTTTCTTCCACAATGCCTTTACCCTGGAGCAATAAAGAAAGCTAAAGGAGCAGATCAGCTTTCTCCATATTATGGAATAAAGCCAAGTGATTACATTTCTGGTTCTCTCGTCATTCATAATACTGATTTAGATCAAAGCACAAATACAGAAAGCGAATCTCCTAAAGGCCAGGCACCTCCAAATGGGTGTGCTATACAGAAGAAAGAGTCTCTTCCACTATTGCCAAAAAACCGAGGCATGGTGATAGTTAACGGGGGACTGAAACAAGAGGAAAGACCTGCTGCAAACCCACAGCAAGAGAACATTTCTCAGAATCCTCTGCATGAAGATGGGCACAAGTCTCCATCTTGGATCTCTGAGAATCCTTTAACTGCGAATGAAAATGTCTCTCCGGCAATTCCTACGGCAGAGGAACAGTTGTCTAGTATAGCTAAAGGCGTGAATGGTTCTACCCAGGCCCCAACCAGTGGGAAGTACTGCCGACTGTGTGACATCCAGTTCAACAACCTTTCAAACTTTATAACGCATAAGAAGTTTTATTGCTCGTCACACGCAGCAGAACACGTCAAATGAAACAGTCGCTCACCTTTGGTACCTGTGTTTAGCATATTGTTCCATACAGTCTGAGGAAAGCTGTTTGAATTACATCTGGACAATCAGGAGATTTCACTATTGCTGAGTTGAAGACTTAAAGGTGTAATTTCATTACAGTCCATTAGTAAAGTGTATTATTGGTGCCATTTTCAAAAATATTAATTTATTTTACCAGCAGTATTCATAGCTGTAGTTATGTTTTATTTTTTATTTAAAAACTTTATATTAAAGTCATTTGTAATGTTATTGTATAGTTATTGTGTAGCACATATGGTTTGCACTGTATAGTAGATTTTAAAGAAAATAGTCGCAAACAATACAGAAAAGCATTTTAGAAATAGCTTCAAAAGCACTTGTGTATCCTGATTTTTTTTCCTTATATGCTGTTACAGGTACAAGTGTATGCTAAAATATAACTTGCAAGGAAGTTTCAACTATGCTGTAAAGTTCGCCTTAAAATTTCAATTTTTTGAACAATTGGGCTCAGTTTGCACTTTATATTTTAGCAGATACAGTACCTTAGTCATTAGGCTTTGCATTTGTATGTAGCAGTATGTTTCTGTCCACTTTCTTAATCTGAAACGTACGTTAAATGAAGATGGCAATTTTTTTCTTGTATAGTACTTGTATTTTCTTTTGCTGATGCATCTCTTGTCTCAATTTTTAAACCTTTGCTGTTAAATGCAATACTTTATAAAGAATGAACAAAATTACTGGAAGCAGTATTGTAAGTAATGAGGTCATATCAATCAGTTTTATCTTTTGAAAGGCACAGTCTAAAACAAAACCCTAAACTCAATGCTGCAATTATGAATCTAATTCATATATAAGATATATTTAAATATAAGAGTAGCAATACTGCAACTGGTGATCACAAAGATAATGTTCTACTTCTGATAGAAATAATTTCTCAACAAATGTTGTTACTATGCATGTATATGGATGGAATAAAATTCCAGATAATTGGAGAAGTTTGGCAGTAATTTCTTTACATTTGTTTTATTTTGTTTTTCAAGGAGGAATTAGAGCTCATGAACTGTAAAGACACTCTTAGGAACAGGGTAACATTGCCACTTCCTTAATGGAAGCAAAGTATTCAAAGAGAAAATGTATACAAAGGATGTCCCCACTTCAAGGGAGCCCTTGCTGACAGGTCACTAGTGCAACTAAGTTCAAGACAAACTAGTGAACTAAAACTTAAAATGTTAAGGTCTGAAACTAGGAAGGCTCTCCTCATTAGTGGAGATAAGGATAAGACACTTCCTTGCCAGTACATCCCTACAGCAAAAGCACTGCTTCAGAACACTTCTGGTATGATGCTCCATGTGTTCAGTGGTCTTACATGAAAAACAATAGCATTCATTTAAATAGAACAGCAGTTTGCTCCACTAAGTCAATACAGAAATACTATTCAATAATTTGTTATATTAAAATCTTAACTAATGCACAATTAATAACCTTCACTTGCAATTGTTCAGTCTCCTGTATGCTGTTTTCATAAAAATATTGGTGTTATTAAAATCACCTATCAATGTGTTTTTCATCCTACGAATTTGAAAGCAAACTCGTGACCTGAATAGTGACATGAATATTTGTATTTAATTCAGTTCCTGTATCAGCCAAAGAAGCAATTGTTAAAAGGTTGGTATTTCAGCTAAGCAGCCAGCTGGAGTCTAGCGTAAGAGTATGCAGTGCCACCAACTTCAGTAACCCCATCCCTGTGTACTTTGGAACTGAATTTGTTGTGGGGTTTGGTTTTTTTTTTATTATTATTATTTTTAAATGTAGGTACATGTGATCCAGTAGCGAAAATAGTAAGCACTTCAGAAACTAACAACTCTAGTGGTTAGCTGGGCTTTAAAGACAGAACATAATACAGAGTGCTTAAAATTGTGCTAATTCTCACTCTCAACCAAGGTAATAGGTGCACACATTAATTTCAGTAGGGCCAAAATTGGTCGTGTAGCAAATGCTTTAGGTAGTAAGACTTGTGAGGGAGAAAAAGTGTTGCAGACACAGGGAAAATACAACAGACAAATCATTCATGATTATCAATTAAACATTTATTATAAAATACCACACCAATATATCTAAAACACCACAATATTTGAGACAGATGATACATTTTAACATTTCTGGTGGCAATCATTATTTGAAGATTATCTATTGTACAAAATTGGTTCAAAGAACTTAAGTGATTACATCTGGATTGAAATAAACTAATTCTGAAAGATTTATATGCATAGACAAAAGCTTCTACATGAAGTTGGTCAGAAAGTCACAGGTAGTGTAATTTCCATTTGCTGAGCTCTAGGGGTGTGTTTAGACCGTGAGAAAATAAAGGAGAATATCAGGGTTAAAGGGAATACCTAGCTGAAAAGTGGTGCCGAAAGCAAGAAGCCTTATCACAAAACATTTCTGATCTGGAAATGCTGAGGGTGCCTGATATATTCCAGAGGTAAATTAAAGCCTGCCATGTAGCATTATATTCTTCCTACTGGCTAGTCCAATTGCTTTCACACAATACGATATACTTAGTAGCGTTTTTTACTTTAAAAATCACCTGTTTGGTTGACCCATCCTATTTTTAAAAGTTCAAAACAAGCACAACCTGTTCATCTGTGGGTACAGAGTTACTCAATTTTAAACACATTTTACACATTTTGCTCGCTTTGCTGGAGCACCTGGCAACTCCAACACGTGCTAAACCCCAGAGTCATACCATCACCCTGAAAACAGAACTTTACATCAGCTAGGTGGGTAGCAAATACAGATTACTGACATTTGATATCTTAGACATGTTTTAAAAACAGAAAGCATTTAATAAAGATAGTATTTAATAAAGATAGCTGCTTACATAGCTGGGATCAGGAACTACCCTTCCCCATAATTTTACACACTATTTCCTTTTTTTTTTTCCACTTTCTTTATTGCACCCGTATTTTAACTTACTCTTTTGAAGTAAGAACATAAACACTTTGGTATCCAGAAATCTCTCTCTGGTCTCTTAAACCAGTTTGGTCAATACTGGCATTATCCCAGCTGGGGACTTTTAGCACATCTATGTTTAAGTTGTAAGTTTTTTTTTTTTACAGGAATACACTAAGTTATTATTTGTTTTCTCTTCATATTTTATATATGCATTTGTTCAAGGTGATAATAGAACAAGGATTTTTTATTGGTAAAAACTCCTCTTGGACATAGACTCTTCCCTAGTTCTGTTTTTAGGGTTTCGTATGTTTATTAATTATTTATCAAATCACTTATTGCAAAGAGAGTCCATCCTTCGTGAGTCTTTG